AGCGAACTACATTAATTTTTAAGCAAAAAATAAAAATAAAATAATCTCATAAGAAGAAAAGGTTTCTTAATTTTTAGTATTATATAAATCGCATTAGGTATTATCAGAAATGTAGAAACCAAAGAATAAAAATATATATTTTTTTTCTAAATAATTTCAGTTCAGTGTTGTACTTGCAGGAAAGTTAGATGTTTCCAGTTATTTAAAATGTATTTTAGCCCCTGCTGATTCTCTACACATAACTCGTATAACTTAATTATAATTTATAATGCCACTTTGAAGAAACACAGCTCATTTAAACAAAACTTAACGCATACTAGAAACAAAGAAACAGAAATTGGCTACCTTAATGCATGAACAGAAATTAAAATTACACAAAAATACAAATTCACATAACATAACTGAAATAAATAAATAAAAACGAAGACAAAATCGAAAAAATAATCAACTGAGTCAAATCGGTAATCAAAATTGGTTCCAGTATGGGTCAGCTAAAGAGATTAATTCGATAATGAATCGACAATTTGAGTGCCAGAGCAACAAAATTGAAATGAACTCAGCTGTCCTCTGCTGCGGCAATATTCCACACACAGAATATAATAACTTTCACATTTCACACAATTGCTTTAATTGCTGGCTGAGCAAAGCTTTTTGTAGCTTTTTATGCGAAGCACATTAAAAGCTTTCGCCCTTGGTAAAATGCACGCTAAACGTTTACGAACAATTTCTGCTCAGTTAAATGCTTCTTTTTTTTTCTTTTTGGTATTATTCCTGGTTTTTTATTCGATCTGAATAGTTTTTTGGTTTATTATTGGACATATGATTATTTATTATTTAAACACATTGGCAAAAGTTTGAGAAAAATTGAGTGGAAAATCGAAAAAAAAAAAAAAATTGAAAATAAAAGTTGTAATAACTAATTAAAATTCCCAGTTGAGCTCGTTTGTAAGCTATTTATGTAAACAACATATATATATAATAATATTATTACTCAATATGTATGGTTAGAGTGCAATTAGTTTAAGTTGAAATTGAATTTGTTGAATAATTGACAATTTTTGTACTAATTGATTTTTTGTATTTCATGTTCTCTTCCCCGTCTGCTCTCTCGCTGTCTCTTTTCGCAATAGCAATTCTCTGGCATGGTACCGTTTAAACGTCCAGCTGCCGAAAAGTCTGGCATTCCAGTGTATCAACCCGGTGCGACAACCTATCAACAATTAATGCAGCCCTACGTGCCAGTGTCATGTGAGTATCCCCCACAACAACAACAACATCAACAACAACAACAACAACAACCAATATGTAGCGCCATAACAACAACAACTACAACAACAGCAGCAACAACAGCCAGTAATAATAATAATAATGCTGTAACTGTAACTGCTATGACTACCAATACCAATACCAATACCAATACAAACACAAACACAAACACAAATACAGCCACATCAACACCAACACCAACACAAACAACAACAACAGCTACTAATCATATTAATAATCATGATAACCAAGCGCTAGCTAACGATTCTGATGCAAATCATGATCAAGAAAATAATGACACAACAACAACAACAACAGCACAAACCAACACAACAACAACAGCCACAACAAACACTGCTAACGATTGTAATACAACACAAACAATTACAACAACAGCAGCAGACACTGATACAGCTAATGAGACAACAAAAACAGCAACAACAACCGCTGCAGCAGCAGCAGCAGCAGCTGCTGCAACAACAACAACTGACACAGCAGCAACAACTAACGGCAGCTCTAGCCCCCCCAACACAGAGACAGCACTTGAACCCTTGACCCTGGCCAATGGCGATAATAACAACTATTTGTCATATATTAACAACAATTTGAATAAATCATTGAAYGGCGACGAGCYGCCCAATGAGGCAGACAATAGCACAGCAGCAGCAACAGYTGCCGCCAACACAGCTGCAACTGCAGCAGCAGCAACAGCAGCAACAGTCGATACCGATTCCATTTC